CATTAAGATACATTTATACATCAGATTTTCCATCTGCAGCACCAAAATTAAATCCTTGCTGCCTCACAATGTTTTCACCCTTGTTTCCCCTGCTTACTTTCCATCTTTCTGTATGCAAAGCTTTGCCTCCATGAAGATGCCAGTGATCAAGATATATATCTATCTACATAAAGATAGATATAGATACATTAATCTTAGCTAGGGACAATGGCTCAATTTATACATGTGCGTATAAACTGGTGTGTTATGTAATCAGCAGCAAGTTAAATATACTCCTGTTTGTGTCCATACCTGACCCTCAGCTTTAACAGCTTTAATAGTTCAAAAAGTTAGAAGCCTTACAGAAGGCTCCTAAAATCAATATCTGCTCACATATTTTCAAGTACCTGCAGCCAGACACACATTCCTGTGACTCAGAGTAAGTTATGTTTGCAGCATCAGATTGGATAACCTTCATTTTCTCCTTTGCACATTCTAAAGTGCAGCAAATGTGTTGCTCCACAAGAGATGACACAGCCTCCAGCTACAATTCAGTCAGGTGAGGGGTTACTGACAGTTCATCACAGGCAAAGGAATCTCTGGACTGCTCCGATGCAGCCTATCCATTCTGAAGCCTTGGGTTTAGCGTGGTTTCCTAGGACACAAGGCACATGTGATCATTCTGCCTGTCAGACAGTTGCAGCTCAGAGCACTCGAGTCTCTTGACCAATCTTACCCAAATTTGACAGTGGTCTCACAGATGTGGAGTACCTTGAAATTTTGTGAAACGAGATGGACAGGGGCAGAACAGTCTTTACCATGGCACCAGAAAGCCTGCACTGTAAGGCCAGATGCTGTGAGACATCAGAGGAGACACATGCTTCATCTCAACATGCTGCTAATCAGGACAAGCATTTTTGGAAGAGAAAAGTTTTTGGGGAATGTGTCATTTGTGACACGTAACTAGGCCCTGTCTTCCCCAAATCAACTGGTAGTGGGGTAATCTAGACCTAAAAAAGGCTACAGCCTCCTAGGGTGGGCTTGTGGCATCTCCAATAGCAAACAGTGGTGGTGATTCCCTGGGAGATGTCTGTGACTCTCAGGTGAGTGACATAAGCAGGAGCAGACAGCTGGGCTCAGTTGCCCATCTGGGAACTGGTCACTTCAGGATATGCCATGATTTCTACTTAATACGGTCACAGAAAGCTCTTCTTACATATCCCATATGTGCAGAGAATATTGTGTATGTAGCCACTGTCCATCTGCATTGCCTTTGCCTTTTAGATCTCACCACCCAGGCCCCCTCCTTCTGCATACAAAGCTGATTCTGTTTGTTATGGCTCTGCTGGTTCAAGCACAGTCCAACAGCACACTGTGGATGCAGTGTTCCTTTTGTTTCTGGGCTTTATTAGGAAGTGGCTTTGTTTTCTTTGGCAGGGAGAGTTTATATTAATAATCTCTTTTGAGTTCTATTCCTTTAATACAGTCGGCTGTCAACAGCATATGCTACCTCTGTATCCTCAACAATGTAAAGTGCCTGTTCTCTCCAACAATGACCACTCTTCCTCCCCTAGGTCCAGATCTGACAAATAAATCAAGCCCTTTGGTTAGCCTGGGACTGCTGCACAGCCCAGGTGCATGTGGGAACAGTGTCTGTTCACTGCCCACTGTGCTTGACCCTGAATGAGGGAGCACATCAGTGCAGATGAAAGAGAGAACTGGAGAGAAGAGGAAGAGCACTGTGTGATGGAACTGGGGAGTCAGTCAAACTGGTGCCACCACTGGTGGGAGGTTGTGTGAGCTCTGATGCAGGGTTGAGACAAGACAGCTTTCCCTGGCTTTCCTGGTGCTGGATTTTGATCTGGAGTGGGGCACAGTGCAAGAAATCCACTAAGAGCCAGCAGTTACAGATAATGACAGTGCTGCCCCATTTCCAGGGCACAGCATTTTGGAAATGCCCTTGCTCCTCCCACCAGTGTGGGTGTGGAGCATGCTAGCTAGGTGAAACCATGGACAGGGATGTTGTGGGCAGCGCAGGAAAACAGCCTCGGTACACCCACACGCCCCTTTGTGTGCAGATTTAACTACCATCCCTGCAACCGTGCAAAACCAAAATGCCTGTCGTTCTGGGGTGTACAGACCAACCACACCAGCTAAACAGCGAAAACAGAGGTGGAGTTCCTCTGGAATTTCTGTCAAATTAGGACAAAACCAAGGCCCTTGTTGTGAAAACACTTCAGGCCTTGCTAATTGGCTGTGGGTCTTCCCCTTACAACTGCCTCTCACTCAGGCAGGGACTCTACCACAGGGATCCTGTGGGCAGTGAACAGACACTGTTTTCCTTCATCAGACAGCGTTGTGGCAGGCCTGCAGATGTTTAGAAGGTTTTCTGTACAGCCACTTCTCAGTGAATTATGGACCAGCCCCAACTGCTCATTCTACTGCAGCTTAGATGAAAGGTTGGAAAAAAGCAGAGATAATTTTTCTTCCTTCTGTCTCCTGGGGGCTAAGCCATAAACACACACTCAGTGCATACCTATAATTTATCTTTCTTTATAAGTTAAATGTTCCTTGTAGAAACTCATTTAAAAAACCAGCTCTTGTTCCCATTTTTTTCCCTACTTTTTTTTTTTTTAATTCTGTCTTATTAGAGTATAGATGTTCTAACCACGATTCTCACTGTTCTGGTTGATTATGTGACTAAAATGCAGTAATAGTCATCTCCTATAGTTTTGTCTGGTGCCAGTTAACTGATAAAATAATGATTTAGGGTGTCTTTTACTTCTTACACTTTATTACACTCTGTAAAATGTACTCTCTCGAGATGAGTCATTAAAACACTTTTCTCTCCCAGTTTTGCCTTCTGCTTGTGACTGAGGGCAATGCAGCAAGTCACATCTTGCATGAGTTTGGAGGGCATCTCCTGAGACACATTGATTCATGCCGAGTGAAACACATCATCACCTGGACTCTGCAGGACTGATCAGAAGGGAAAATGTGTTTTTGCAAGATATTTCTGGGATCATTTTTGCAAAACCCAAGTGCTTTGAAAATGAAAATATTTGGAAACACAACCTCTGTGACTCAAGGGTCCTTACGTCTGGATACTTTCACTGCTTCACTCTGCAGACAAGACTCCAGGATAAGGGGATGTATCCTTCTGTCTGGTGGGTACCCGTGACACCTTGTTTGCTCCAAGAGAGGAGAATGGCCACATGAAATAACTGTGCTGAAATTCCCACAAAGGTTCCTGTGAGCTATTCTACACTGACAGACTTAGATTGGGGATGTTTCAGTAAAAAATAAGCTTCTCCATAGAGCAAAGTGTTAGAAAAAAGTGACTGAAACCAAAATGTCAGAAGAAATGCAGGAGTTAGGAGAAGACAGGGCAGACCAGAACTAACACTGCTGTCTCCTCCAGCTTACCACACCAAAAATGTCACAGGTTTGATTGACACACAAAATTAGTGCCCTGCTGTACTTTACAGCAATTTTGAACCACTGTCACAAGCACAGTACAAAAATACTGCTGACAAGCAGGTTGGGAAAACAGTAAGGGAAAACAAAACTGAAGAAAACTTTGCTTTATCAAAATTTTACTGTGATACAGGAAACCAGCCCATAGCGAATTTGTTAAGGGTACAGTACTGAAACACCTGCTTAGATTGAATTCATTGAGGAAACTGAGAGTTTGCTTCATTTTTGTGCTGACTTGGAGTTAAAAGTATAAAGGCCAGAGGGGAAGTCTGGGTGTCCCACTGAATACTGTGAAGCGCGCACTGAGCATTTTAAAAGTGATGGAAGGATGTTATGCCTTTTGCCAACTTGAACAGATAATTGAAAACCGTATCAAGAGACAACTGGTGAAAGAGATAATCTGTATTTAGCCAGCTAAAAAATACATCATACACAACTTCATGGAGAAAATAATTGTTTATTTATGACAAACTTTTGTGCAATTCTCCTTCCTTTCTTTCAAGTCCTATAAAGGGGAGGTGAAAAAGGATTCCTTCTTAAACTAAGATTTCCATATATTTCAAGAGGTTTTAAAAGGCGATGTATGGAGACAACTACATGTACAAATATATGTCCATATAAATATTCCTCTGTGTGTCTGTACATATGGAAACATATTTGCTTTAATCTTTGAAGAGGGTGGAAAAGTGACTTGATGCCTACATATTTTTACCTATCTGCTGTTAATTCACGTGACAAACCCTGGACTATGGTAGCTGTTCTGGGAAGTGCCACTATGATAACTTATCATATAACCTCTTGTCCTGGTTCCAGCCAGGACAGGGTTAATGTTTGCAGTAGCCAGGAGGGGCATGGCCAGGACCCTCAAGTTATTCTATACCACCTCATGTCATGCGCAGGGGATGAGGAAAGGGGTCCCTTCCAGTCAGGTACAGGGAGTTGAGAGGTTGGGATGTTGTGTTCTGCATGGTGAGTGCTTGCATGTGAATCGTTCACCTCTCTTGTACTCTATTACTAATACTACTGCTATTACTGTTTGTTTTCTTATCTCATGGCTGTTTTCAGTAAATTGTTCTTGTCTCAACCTGTGATCTTTGCCTTTTGTGCCTTCAATTCTCCTCTCCATCCTGCTGCAGGGGAAGAGGAAGTGGGAGGTGAGTGAGCGGCTCATGGTTCGGGATGTTTCAATGGGAACACTAAATTGGGGAATACCATTCCTAAACCACGACACCTCTCATTTTCATTTCTGAATATTCAGGCATGCAAATCACTGGCTGTATGATCTCTAAGAGGTAAGTTATGATATTTGAGATTTTTTTCCTCATGACATGTTGGATGAGGAAATTCCTGACTGAGCTGGAACCAAAGCAAGAGAGCTCATTATTGATGATGTTTTTGTTCATGATGGCAAACAGCATGCAGATCCATCTGCAGTTGTTTGATATTCCAGCAGGAGCTTTTCATGCTATTCATATATTATTCCTATATCTGGGCTCACAAAGCCACAGACTCCTTCCTGCTCACAACAAGTAGCACAACCAAGATCCTGGAGGAAATCTGATAGAAAAAGATTTTGGTTTATTATTGGAGCAGCAGTTGGGATGAAGACAAAAGAGGTAATTGGGAAATTGGATCCTCCTCTGCAGGCTGGAGATACAGAAAAATGTGCTCCATTTTCAGTCATTCTCATTGTCTTGTGACAGCTTCCAATCTGAAAATTTTATCCATATGATCACTGAGATAATGTATCCAACAGAGTTAACAAGAACTGGAACTGCCTATTGTCTCAAACACTTTATATTCCGATAGAATTACATTTCCTTGGTGTATCTGTCCACCTGAAACATATGTCCTCTCTTCCCAGATATAAGCAGCACATCTGATGTATATGTGTTCCTCTGAAAAACAACACACATATGAAGCTACTTTAGAAGAGTCCTGTGTTGTGTTTGAATTAAAATATTGCTGATGTGTTGTGTGCACAGCCAGCATGGACTGACGAACCTGTCTGGGAGTTATGAGACTTCGTTTGTAGCTGCTATTGTGAATAAAAGGTTGTCCAACTCTCTCTAGCAGCTTTTCTGCCCCTCTTTCTATCTGCTTGCTATATTTAGGTCACACTATTTTCAGAACCACAGATGCCTGTTACCAAACCTGTACTGCAGTGGGGTCCTGGAGTGATCAGATGATTGCTAAAAAGAAATCAACCCTTAGATGTATGATGTCTTAGAAGTATACATTAGCTTAAACATTTCCCCTTAGGATCACTGTGGCAGCTAACCTTCTCCCTTCATTACTCAGCTACAGTCTGGATTGATTGGCAGGAGATCTGTATCCATCCCTGCGGGTATTTGGCAAGCCATGGGAATGCAGTGTAGGTCTGTGAGGTTGCATATGAGGAGCAGATCAGCTGAGCATGTGCTGACGTTTGCCAGGTTATCCCTCAGAAAGCCAGGGGCTGGGTCTGAGAGTCCTGTTGGATGATCCTGTGCCAGTGCTGAGGCACCTGGGGGCTTGAGGATTTGCTCCAGATGAGCAGGGCAGAGCCAGAGCACAGCTCTGCAGGGCAGGCTGCAGAAGAGAAATAGCCAGGGGGGAAAGCTGTCGGCAGGAGGATCTCTGTCTGGGGTTTTGCAGGCTTTGAGCTGATCCAAGGGGGAATTTCAGGGTTTCCCTTACCTCATTTCCCAAGAAACCTCTAAAAAAGAGGGAAGATGAGAGAGACAGAAGAAATCAAAGGTTTTGACTGGCACCTCCTCCCTCTGTTTCGGACCTTGTAAAATAACTGAAGGCCTTGGCAAATCTGGACTCTTATATTTTCCATCAAGATAAGTGCATTTCCTTTATGTCACACTTTTGAATACGCTTACATGCACAATGAGCTGTGCTGTCTGCCAGGGAAGGAAATGGAATAAAGCAGAGCTGGCCAGGATGTCATAATGGTTGTTCCAAGACCTAGCAAAGCCTGGCTGCATTTTCAGGTTATTTAATCTCCCCGCCGTTTTATATTAAAGGGATAATGGTCACAGAGAGGAACCACTGACACTTGTCAGGTAATGAGCAACTGGACAGTCTTGCAGGTCTGTCTGTAAACCAAGATATGACTCCCAGGAAAAGAGGCCCCCAATGCCTCCCCCACCTCTTCTGTGGAGCTCCAGTATGCTCCAACCATGCTTTTGATAGAGCTGCTGCCAGCTGTCAACCAAAGGCGAGTTCAGGACACTGCGGGCTGCTCTTGAAAAATGCCCATCTCTGGGCAGGAGCATGGAAAAAACTTTGTGTCCCTGTTGTGCCAGCATGGGGAATCTACAGCTCCTTTGAATGGCTGGAGTCACGTGACAGAAACACTTGACCAAGGCTGTGCGTTGGTTCAGGCTGATTAAGGAGCAATAGGTCTCATGCCCTGTGGTGAACCTGCAACCTGAAAAGGTTCTGGCTTAAATGGAAGGGTGTGAATGGGTAAAATGAAGACATCTCTCTTGTCTGTACTATTGACTAGGGGTCAATTACTTCACTCTATAAATATTCCCATCCGGATGGGTCCAATCTGAGCTCTCCCTGATGCGGCTGGACTGCACATCAGGTCACTCGCCCTTCAAGCAGGGACATCCCACAAACTTCCTTGCTACCAGGGAGGACTGGTTGTGCCTTGGTATGGGAAGTTGGGCCTAGTGTGAGAACATGGTTGGCAGACTTGTAAGCCTGGCAGCCTCCTGAGCTTTGCCATATTTACCTTTAGGCTGCTACTGTTGCCTGTTTGCTGGCACATCATGCTTTTACGGTGGATACCCAGTGGTACCTGACAGAAAGAAACAAGGCAGATTTACTGGGATCGCTGAAAAAACCCCATCATTTGCAGGTAATTTCCCTGCTGGCATCCGGTGTACTGATTGAATCCTGCTCCATGGCTTCTCCTCACAATATGTAATTGTGTTTCCCACACCAAGACAGGCCCATTATTCATCAAAATGCAACATTAAACTAAGTAAATTACTCAGAACTTTTTCAAATAAGTGAAGTGAGATTTACCCTCTCCTTTTCCCCTGCATTTACTGCAGTGCTAAGCAAAGGCACCCAGTAGCCTAAAGGGATATTCCAGATATTAATTTTCTAGCTCTGTAGTTACATGTTTCCAATTTTGCAGTGACTCTGAGCTGCTCTTCTAGCAGAATGCAGAAGGGAGCTCAGGCTGGATACAAACGTATTGTGCACAGGAATGGAGTGCAGGATTGAAAGGCTACAGTATTTTTCACGCCAGCAAAGAGCCTGGCCCTGCCTGCAGATGTGCCTGATGCCTTGGACATTGCCCCTCCTTGGGCTGATTTAACACTCACACTGATTTAGAAGCTATGTTGGCATAGACAATCCTACCTCTGCTACTATACAGTGAAATCCTGCGGTCCGCAGTTTCAAAAGGACCTTTATATGCCTCTTATGGAGCCTTAACCAACATTACTTCTGAGAGAGACAGTGAAATGGTCAGAGCAATGGAGCAATGTGAAGGGTTTCAAGAGTGCAAGAGTGCTCAAGAAACTAGGATGATGAAGGAGTACAAAGGGAAAAGAAAGGACTCTACCTTTGATGAAAATGCCAGGTTTAGGAAAAATGTGTACTCCTTCTCCTGAGGAGATGAAATTTTCTGAAGAAATAGGAGACTTTTTGAAGAAAGGGGGGAGAAGGTGTACGTAAAAAGCTAGGGTTGTCTTCTAAACTCTATTTGTTTTGGTCCAGGTTAACTCAAGCATACTGCTTCTCAAGTTTGGTGATGCTCTGCTTTTTCATAGGAGAAAATTCTGCTTGGTCGGGCAGCCCTAACTTCCTATGAAGCTGAAACAGAGACTCTCAAAACATCAGTTCCAGGGCTTATGCTTTTCTGACGTACCTGTTTGCTGCCTAATAACTGGGGCAGGGACAGTAGCAACAACACGGCAGGGATTCTATGCAGTTAACTTTTGCAGTTTCTTTATTCCAAAAATGAAGAGGTGGGCAGAGTGGAATCACAGAATAGTCAGGGTTGGAAGGGACCTCTGGAGATCATCCAGATTTCAACCCCCCCTGCCAAGGCAAACTTGCTCAGGATTCACTCTATCCCTTTGTCCAGCTTGTTGATAAACAAGTTGAATAAGACTGGACCCAGTATTGATCCTTGGGGAATACTACTGGCCACAGGCAACCAACTGAATTCTACTCTGCTGATCATGACTCTCTGACCTCTGCCATTCAGCCAGTTCTTGATCCACCTCACTGTCCATTCATCTAACTTTTCCTGAGCTTCCCTATCAGGATATTTTATGGGAGACAGTGTCAAAAGCCTTGCTGTTGTCAAAGTAAATGATATCCACCGCTCTGCCCTCATCAACCCATCCTGGCATCCATCATAGAAGGCTATCAGATTGGTCACACTTGATTTACCCTTGGTGAATCCATGCTGACTATTCCAAATGACATTCTTTTCTTTTACATGCTTGGTGATGACCTCCAGAATTATCAGTTCCATAGCCTTTCCAGGGATGGAGGTGAGGCTGATTGGCCAGCAGTTTTCTGGGTCCTCCTTCTTGCTCTTTTTGAAGATGGGAGTAACATTGTCTTTTCTGTGATCATTGAGCACTTCTCCTATTCTCCGCGATTTTTCAAAGATGATGGGAAAAAAAAGAGAGCCTTGCAATAAAACTCTGCAACATTCTGCACTACAGCAAAGGGAGAATGAAGCTTGTCTTTGTCTTTCAGTCCCAAATTGCAGGACCCTGCAGGTCAGAGCCTGAGCTGGAAGGAGAACTTCAGAGATGAGAACTCTTGTCTGCTGTGAGTTTGGGGTTGTATTTCAGCCCTCCTGCCCTCAATTTCCCTTGGACACCTGTGGGTCAGCCCAGCCTCCTTGCCACGGGTCCAGCCTACCAGCTATTCTTGCAATGCCATTTTCCCTTTTCATTTGTAAATTCCTTCCCCCTGCAGGCAGGTTCATGTGTGGTCAGTCTCCCCACTCTTTACTCCTTTCTACTACTTTACTAAATGTTAGCACTCTGGTGAGAGACAACAGTCAGACTCATAGCATAGCTGGACCAGTTTTAGTACTAGGTCTGAGTAACTAACAGAATTAAGAAAGAAAAACAGCTGTGTGTATACGAGACCAGATGTGTCTTCAGGGGAAGACATAGTGTATCCTTTAATAAAAAACCCTAATTGTAGAGCATGTTTGCAGCCTGAAACCTGCAATGTGACAACGTTCAGATGGGCCAGTGTACCTTCATTCCAAAATTCCATGGGGCTAAACCATGCTTCCTTCATTAAACAAGCAGATTTCTAGGCTTTCAAGGGCTTGAAGTCTCAAAGCCTTTGGCCAGCATTTGTTTCAGACACTGAAGAGCTCTTCTTTGTCTAGCAAAGACATGAATGCCTGGTTTTCCACTGATTCAGGGCTTCCTAGAGCTCCTCAGCTGTGTGATGTCTTTGTGATGCTTGTGTGATTTCTAATCAGCCCTGCAAGACAAGAAAATATGTTGTCTTTTTGGTCACAAAAATTCTTCATAACATCCTCTCTAGGCATGCAATCACTTCTCAGTATCTCAGTACAGCTCTGGGAAGTCTCAGGAGCAAAAACAGCTTCCCTAATCTCATTCAGGTGGTTAAGTGAGTCTTGGATGTGTTTGATAAGGAAGGTCTGAGAGGTAAGATCGCACTGATCCCACCATCCAAAACAGTACAGGGTAAGATGAAGATAATTTTTGTTCATCTCTGCCTTAAACAGTAAAAGACAATATGGAGTAAGGCAAAAACCTTTGTTGCTGTTGTTGCTGTTAAAATGAGAGGAGCTGCCAACAACTGGCTAGGGAGATTTTCAAAATATGATCCGAAATGGCTGTCTGTGCCTCTGTGGGCAGCATACTGTGTAAGAAAATTTCTTTTTCTCCTCCCTGGGGTGATTTCTTTGGGAAGAAAGCAGTCAGCAATTGTGGCATTAAAGAGATCGTCTTTAGATCTCTGAGTAGAGATGAAAGGGGAGCATTTATTGTCTGCAAGCCACTCCTTCTGGTTTTCTGCAGAATCAGCCAAGTAGCTCTGCACCAGTTACACTTATTTCAATATCTGCAAGACTTTCTTCTTATGCAATAGGGTTGCAAAATTCCTATTTTCAAAGAAGAGATGAAGTTTCAGGAAGAGCAGCAGATGCCATCAAACATATTAGCAGAGGACTTGGTGTCTTGTTTTCATGCTTTCCTTGTTTCAGAAGGAAAAAGATACTGCAAATTTGAAAAATTCCCAAAGAGAAGATTTATAACATCAAGCCCTGCCCCCGTCCCATCCCCAAAATATGCAGTAGCTGCTTCTGCTCAGACGATGCTTAAGCTGTAAGATCAGCCTCCTGTGGTTCAGGGATGCTTTGCAAGGTGAAACACTGCAAAGCATCAGGAAAATGTGGTTGTATCTGTTCCATGCTCTTCAGTTTCACTGTAGAGCTGCTGATCTTTTGCTCTTATCCAGGTTCCCACAAAGCCAAGGATGAAACTTAGGAACTTTGATGATTCCTACTAGAAGAGAAAATTGGTGTGTCATGTCTAGTTCTCCCACTGCAAGAAGTTCACAGGACAAATTAAGCCATTAAACTAGAACACAATAAAATGCTTTGATATACAAAACAACTACTGTGTCAGAAAAGCATTTTTGTCCACAAAAGGGAGGTTGGTTTGGTATTTCAGGCCCTATCGGAGGTGACTTCTTAGTGAGACATTGTAGGGATTTCTAATATGGGAAAACAGCAAGAAATGGACATTGTTACGCTATTGGGAAGAGTAACATGGGAAAAGTAAGGAGGAGCAGTTCTCTAGGGCAGAAAGAGGAACTTGAACAGAGGACGAAAGGAACTAACATTGCTAATAGGTAAAAATATTATAATATTGTAGCTAGCAGCAAGGACTCAGGGCCTAAATGAACAATTGCAGCCTATTGTATAAAAGGTACAAAAAGCCTGCTGAAATAAGTAATAGATGTCTTTGCTTTCACCATCATGCGAAGTCTGTGTCCTTAATCGCCACAAAACATCCTACTTAGACCAATTTAAATCTGGACTGGCAATGCAGGGGAGCCAAGGTAGTGCTGTCTCACCCCAGGTGGGAGCTAAAAATGCTGACTGAGTTCAGAGAGAGCAGGGGAACAGCTATCGACCCCCTTAACTGCAAGGAGAGAGGGAATTTGTGCAACTGTATACAGTATAAACAGGCACAACTCTACCTGATGTGCTAAAAGGTGGTGTCTCTGGCTATTTCTACCCATGGGACAAATTTTCTGCTCTGCACCCTTATGAGAAATACAAAGTTCAGGGCTGCTTTTTTGTGTGTGTTTTTTTTTTTTTCCTCTTTTTTTTGTGTTTCTTTTTTCTTGGTTTCCTGCCACCCCAATAGTTAACATCTGCATTGTACTCTAAGCTTTGAAAAACTCAAATGGTAAGTTGGTATTCAGTTCCATACAGAAAGAAGCTCAAATTTAACTTTAAGAACATGTCAAGAGCTGCAATGAGGTACACACAGTAGGCAATTACCCTGTGGAGCATCACTCCAGAATGTGGTACCAGGTGTCCTGGTGTAGGATACAAAGAGAGATAGCATAGTACCTGGTAGTATCCAGTCTTAAGACTCAAGGTGAAAAAGGAGCAAGAACTCCAGGCTGCTATTGCAGGCAGTAGTTGGGGGAAGCAGTTGAAAAGGCACAGAAAATTCTTCCAGTTCATACCTTTCAGCTGTCATCAGAACAAACCCCTAAATCAATATTATTGGTCCCCAGAGAGATTCAGGAGATAAATTAACATAACCCCATAAATGACAAGCTTTCACAGTCATATCAGGCCCTGAAAATTATCTATTGCTCCTTTATTACAGCACTCTTCAGGAGCAGTCCCAGTATTTCAGGTGCTCCCATGTACCATGTAACAAAAAACAGGGTTACCCAGCTGGGACTTAAATCTTTGTTCGAAATCAAAATAATCTTCATCTCTTTATATTAATAAAAAGGACAAAACATGCATGAATATAACTCTTTCTGTCAGAGCTTTACTCATGACACCACTCTCAAGGGACTCCCTCAGCAATGGAGAACCCTGGTTGCAGAGCTGAAGGTGAGGATGGACAGGAGTTGATTGCCACTAAATACCCTGGCAGCAAGAATGGGTGTAGTTCCTTCCAGGCTTTTGTGCAATACGATTTATATCACATCTGCTACTGCAGCAGAGTATGTTGTGTTTCTTGTCAAATACATGGCGATCAGTGGAGAGTTTAAACAAACTGCAGAGATACAGAGTGGGCTTAGAAAAGTATTTTCCTCATTTGGATCAGAAAAAGGAGCTCTTTGTCTTCTCAAGAAGTTTATAGAAAGGTCTAGAGAAGAAAGGGAGGAGAACAGAAGCACCTCAAGTTTAGAAAGAAAAAGATTCTAGATGCAACCTATTTTTCTATGCTAGGAAATGCTGTTTATTGCTTATCTGTTGCTCTCACCTTTTAGTATGCCTAATACACACTTCACTAACTCTGAACAAAGCTTCTCTTGAAAAAGAAGTGATTCCTATGTGCATAGAGCTTTTCAGACTTGAAGGTCTCAGGTGGTTTCATTGTCTTTTAAAATATCTCAAGGTCATGGGGATATGATGAATAAGAAGGACTGAACTGCATTTTATTGTTCGTGGAAGTTCACAGTATGAACAGCAATTTTCTCCATTGGGGCTGGACTATTGTGTTGTGTAATAGTGAATTAAAGATAGCCCACAGAATGTAAGCAAGATGCCTCTCACCTATATTGTCAGGATTTTATAATTATAATCAACCTGCTGAATTCCTCCAATGAGCTTGCTTTTCTATTTTCCCTTCTTTCTGATTGTTTTAGGGAGGGTTTGATTTTCTTAGTCTGGAGTTTTCATGAAAGGAAGACAGAGAAAACCCCCAAAATGGTCTGCCAGTTCTAGCCTGGTCAAGGCATGGAGGATGGTGTGGATGCAGCCTGTGCCAGTAGGCAGACCTGTACTTTGAGACTGCAGAAGCTGAGCCTTCAGCCAACAACAAAATGCCACCCTACTCTCATTTCAAGAACCTTTGAATTGTAGAAGAGAGAGAGAGAGCTGGAGACTGTCAGGTACCTTTGTTGGACAAAACCAACCATGATCAATTTTTCCATTTCTTTCTCCTAAAATCTGATTTAACCTGTGCAGTACAAAGATACTTTAAAAGAATCTTTCAAAGTGCCAAGAAGGAACATGGAACCCAGCTGGAAATAAAATGCAACACTGGTACAAAGGAGGGAACCCAGATAATAAATCGGTCCAAAGGAATCAGCCTCACATGACTGCATAGCATTTCTTTGGTGGAAAAATGGTGACTGGTTTATTGTTAAAACAGTCCATATTTCTCGTGGGAAGTAACCATGCAGACTAGTAACACTAACGTAAATAGAAATTCTCTCCAGAAATTGTTTCTGAGAATGCCAACAGCCTCTAAATAGTAGCTTGCTCCCTCCAAATAGACACCACTGAACTTGCAAATTGAGGTAATTCCAGCAGTGGGCCTGTAACTTTCCTCTGCAGTCATGCTGTTGATTTAACAGGTAAGAAATAAATAAGTCACAGAGAAGGCAGAGTTACTAAACACCTTCTTTGCATCAGTCTTCTCTGAAAAGATCAGCCCTCAGGTATCTCTTATCCAGGAAACAAGGGTAAAGAACTCTTGGAAGGAAAACTTTCCCTTGGTCAAAGAGGATTAGGTTAGAGAACACCTAGGTAAACTTGACATCAACAAGTGCCTCAGCCCTGATGGGATGCATCCGTGAATGCTGAGAGCTCATGCACAGCATAGCAAGGCTGTTCATGGTCACCTTTGAAATGTCGTGGAGATCCGGAGAGGTGTCTGAGGGCTGGAAGAAAGCCACTGTCAGCCCAGTCTTCAAAATGGGCAAGAAGGAGGACCCAGGGTACTACTGGCCGGTCAGCCTCACCTCAACCTCTGGGAAAGTGATGGAGCACTTTGTTATGGAGGGAATGTCTACCTACATAGAGGAGAACAAGAAGGTGATCAAGAGTAGTCATCATGGATGCACTAAAGGTCATGCTTGACCAATCTGATTGCCTTCTACAATGAAAGATCTATCTGGATGGATGAGGGGAGAGCAGTGGGTGTTGTCTACCTTGGCTTTAGCAATGCTTTTGACACCGTCTCTCAAAACATCTTCATCCAGACTCAGGAAGTCTAGACTGGATGAGTGGACAGTGGGGTGCATTGAGAACTGGCAGAATGACAGATCTCAGAGGGTTGTAATCAGTGGCACAGGGCCTGATTGGAGACCTACACCCAGTATTGTTTAACTTGTTCATTTATGACTTGGATGAAGGGCCAGATGCCTCCTCAGCAAGTTCACGGATGACAAAAAGCTGGAAGAAGTGGCCAATACCCTAGAGTGCTGTGCAGCCCTTCAGAAGGGCCTCGAAAGGAGATGGGCAGAAGATGGAGAGATGGGCAGAGAAGAACTACCTGAAGTTCAACAGGGGCAAATGGAGGGTCCTGTACCTTGGAAGAATAACCCCATGTACCTGTACATGCTTGAGAGTCCTTGTGGACAACAAGCTTGAGTTGTCATGAGCCAGCTGTGTGCCATTGTGGCAAATTAGGCCAAGGGGATCCTGTGGTACATGAAGAAGAGCATTGTCAACAGGTCAAGGGAGTTGATCCTATCCCTCTACTTAGCCCCAGCGAAGCCACATTTGGAGTGCTGTGTCCAGTTCTGGGCTCTTCAGGACAAGAGAGACATGGACCTTCTGAAGCAGGTCCAGCAGAGGGCAACAAACACAAATGTGACCCTTACAAAGACAGTTCAGACTGGAGAAAACTGAGAGGACATCCCATCAATGTCTATCAGCATCTGAAGGGAGGGTGCTGGCAGGGTGCCAGGTGGGTAGAGTCAGGCTCTACTTGGTGGTTTGAAGAAATAGGATAAAAGGCAATGGACAGAAACTGATGCACAGGAAATTCCACTTGAACATGAGGTAGAACTTCACCATTCAGTGACCGTGCACTGGAATAGATTCTCCAGGCAGGTAGAGTCTCCCTCACCAGAGATATTCAAGAACCATCTGGTCACAATCCTGTGCCATGTGCTCTAGGATGACCCTGCTTGAGCAGGGAGGTTGGACGAGATGACCCTTTCAACTTTATCCATTCTGGGATTCTGAGATTCAGATTTAACACAGAAAGGCAAGTAGAGTTGGATTTTACTTTCACAAAGATGAGATGTCATGACCAGGCATTACTTATACCAGAGAATATGTGGGAGGATGGAAGAAAGAAAAAGAAAAGATAGGGTTTGGACAGAGATTCCAGCTTGCTGCTACTAGATGATGTGGGGGATATTACCAGAAGTCCATGTGTGTTTTGAAAACTTTTTTCTTCTTTTAATCTTTGCATAACCTTTACTTCTACTGTAGGTAAATGCCATTTAAGCTTTCTGAGTGGAGTTCATTTCCCTCTTTACAAGAAGTATTTTTTTCCTTTTCTGTTTGTGCGTAATTCCCCAAATTTGTATCTCACTAATTCAAGCCAAAGCACCATTACAACACAACTTACGCTTTCATTCATATCCTTAAAAATTAATTGATTTTATAG